TAGTTAGGTTAGAAATAGGCGCTTTTCAAAACAGCGTGGTATACAGAGCAATTTACCAAGTATATCAATCTCGTTCGTTTATTTAATAAAGAATATATTGAATTTTTGATTTTTTTAGTGTTTATATTTGTATAAAACTTATAATTTCAAATTATTATTATTTTTTACTATTATTTAACAAGTGTTATGTGGTGGTACAAACTTCTAAATGAAAACCTCTTTTAATACTAAATATTATTTAGTGAAAAGTTTTTTGATAAACTTAATTCAAAATTCAAACGAGCAGTTTTTTAGGTATTAAAATGTTTATAGTAAGGGTAAAAGTTCTTAAAAATATTTTTACAAAAATATAAAATTCATATAAGGTCTAGTATTTTAATATGTACTTGGAACACATTTATAAATCAAAAAAATTAATTATTAAAATTTTTAAATTAACCTAACCTTCATATCTAGGTAATATAAAAAAATCGCATGTATAAAAAATTTCAAAAATTAGATTTCGAATAACTGTAACATTGAAGAGAAAAAAGAGGTGTATTTGCTAGGTGAATTATCATCTAGTACTATTTAATAATTTTAAATAAAATCTGAAAAAACACGAATTGTCAAGTCTTATCAAATCTCATACGAACCCGATTTAATGTGCGTATGTGTAGATGAAATCAAATTTAGTATCAACCGGTTTTTAGTTCAGAAAGCAAAGAAAAATCACTGCACTTACTCTTTGCTGATATGCTATTAAAGTATCACAACAGTCTGAACAGTCTGATTTTTAAAAAAATTAACTATTGTCAAATCAAACTGACAGTAGTGAAAAAAAATGTCACTAACTCACATAAAGGTCAATCGGTAATGGCACAAAAGAAAGACGATGGTCGAAAATCTGTCTCTATAAAAACAATGTGTAAGTGGTTATTCTCGAAATATTTTCGGAGTTTCGAAAGAGTACTTTTTGAGAATTTTGTCCACGTATAAAAGATATGGGCTCGTAAACAAAATTTTAACAAGAAGATTGGAGGGATACTATCGCAGTGTTTGGATGTTAACTATAAATTATGATTTTATGCGGTCCAGAAAGAAAATTCTAAAAGAATTACATGATCTAATAAATAACATTCTAACATACAAAAAACGACTTTGTCACAAGTACGTACAACGTATACCTACACATATATTGTATAAGACACATCTGGAACAACCGCAGCGGTATGTGTCGAAACACATCGGCCGATGACTCAACTGCAACATATTAGCTGATCTCGTATAATAGTGTGCTACAGACTGACGTCATAATATTAAAGCCAGTTCGATTAATGGAAATAATGTTAATTTATACGGAGCGAATCGCTGGACGAATGAAGTTTGATTGCGCTAACAGCAGTGAAGTGCGCTGCAGTAACATTGCGCTATACAGCTCTGAAGATTTTCACCGAACAGTAATTATTATATTATGCAGTTGAAACGTTAAACGACTATAAAAGACGTATACGCAGTCCACTGATGATATATATTTTATAATATTATATAATACACTGTGGTAGATCTTTAGTCTTACTGAGAGTAAATCTGCAAATCGGCTGAAAAAAAAAAACTAGAAAACAATTATTCATAAAAATAAATAAATTTTTAAACCGTATTATTATACACATATATTTCAATTTATTATTATACAGTTGAGCGAATATCAACGTCCAACCCCTTTAATTTTAAGATAAGAGAAAAAATCTAATCGCCGATAATTACTTATGAAGAATTTATGGAGATGTATAAATATTAATTATTAGGTGAATTTTTAGACACTATTCTGAGATTAAATTATTATTATTATTATTATTATTATTTGTTTTAAATACTTATATAATAATAAATTATATATTGTAGCCCGTAAGCTGTGAGTATTTACTAAGTATTTAAATTATGTTAAGTGTTTACATACTTTTTCTGTACTTTTAAAGTAAGTAAAATAGATAAAATTATGAAGTGAATAAATAATTTATCTTTAAAAATTTTAACCATGAAGAATTCTGATGTGTAAGTATTAGAAGGTATTTGAAAATTATATAAAAATAGTTTTTTATTGAATTAACTATTCAAAATTCATACTTTAAATATAATTCAAAAGTATTTATAAATAAATATAATTTTTTTTTTTTATAAAGGCGACCAGATAACTCGAAATAAATGCTACTAGATTTAAAAATGTCAACTATTGCCATTCGTCAACGTCATATAAAAAAGAAAATAGCCTAGATTTTTAAATGACACAAATGTTAACAATATCGAAAAAAATGAGTGTTAAAAATTATGATCTTGAATTTATTTTATGATTTATCAATTCCATATGATTTTTGTTATCGGAAAAAAGTAAATAAAAATAAAACTATCTGTAAAAGTACCTAATAATTATTTACATCTCATAGTTTTTTTTTACTTACCAAAAATAAGTGTGAATAATTAATCGGATCAATGGAATCATGGGTTATCAGAAAATTAAACACCTACATAGTAAATGACGGGTACAATAAATTTTGTTATTATTTATTTAAATGTATCAAACATTTTTGTCTTCATTTCTAATTTGCGTTGAGTGTTTTCCGGTATTCCTTATACTATTAAAACTTGCAATGAATTGAAGTAATCCATATAAATAATGTGTTTGGAGTATATAAGTTTGTAACTGCATATAATTTTATAGCAGCGACGTAATCGTAACAAGTATATGAATCAACGTTTCTTTCTTTAGAAAGTTGTTCGTGCTATAATTGATTGGTTGATTAGGTATCGTTATTGAGTGATTTAGAGTTATTATCGGGGGTTTATTTTTAAGGAACAAACTCTTTCGGGACACTGTAGTAAAAAACCCAACAAGATTAGTGCACAAACTTACTACTATTGTCTTCTATGTTATAATCTTTATTATTTAATATGTTATGATGTATATACGTTTTATAATATATTGTTCTTTATAATAAACCATTTTTTGTAAATTTAAAAATAACATAAAGAATCCAGAAAAATTAAAAAATTAAATAAAAATGAACGATATTAATTAACTTAGGTACAATAATCAGTAGATATTATTATAAGATAATACTGAGTTTTTAAGAAAAAAAATGATACGAGTATCCTTCAAGAGTATCGTAGTTCGATTTGAACCAAGACCAAGGATGAATGGATGCGAGGAGTAAGGACTAAAAGTTGTCCTCAATTTTTACAAGTAGTTCTCAATGATTAGGCTGTTGCCCATTGGTCATAATGGAAATATAATATTATAATTTACGATGTAAATAAATTAGTATCCAAATCAATATTCAACTTCTACAAGTTTCTTGGACAGCATATGTGTGTGTGTGTATGTGATAAGTTAAGTAATAATTGAGTTAAATGAATTTATAATTATTTTAGTTGTTTTAGTTGTTTTCAATTAGTTATTATAAAATATATAATAAAATACCTATGTACAAAGAGAAAAATAATATTCTCCGCTTTCTTTAAAAATGTCTGTAACCATCCTTGCACAAAAACGTTTTTTAAATTCATATTATACATTTATACTACGTTAGTGGTTTTTTTTTTTTAATTGTTGCTTAATGATTTTATTTTAATTATATATAAATAATTAATTAAAAAAATTAATTAGAAAAATGTTCTAAATACTTTCAAAATGCAAAGTATTAAAATACTTTTAATAAAATACCTTAAAAATTTGTGGTATGGATATAATATGTTTATAACTTATAATTTATAAATATACCAAGCGTGTTTAGTAATTATTATACCTATACAAATTCACTATAGTAATAATGTATTAAGAAAATCAACGAAGCATTCGTTAAACAAAAATATAGTTGATACATACTATTATTATATGTACCTAATGTATAGTTTCACTATGTGAATGTTCAAATGACGGAACGAGTTCTGTGATGTGTTTGGTTTAGAAATATTTTTCATAAAACGAAATGCAGATCGTAAAATTCTACAACGTGGAGAAAACAATACTGTTCCATTTCGTGAAATACTGAAATGGATGTAGATGAGTTAATGATACCCTGAATATTACTCCACAGTCCTCATTAGTTACAATACATAAATTATAAGCTATTTAAAAATATTAACCTTGTAATGATGACTTTAAAAATAGGGTTGTCAACTGTTTAGTCTTGTCGACTATATCGATGAATAATTAGCGACCATTACGACCTACATAAAACAATTACTAGAGATTTAATAAACGTATAAATAATTTGATAAAATGTGGGTGAATTAAAATGTTCTACTTCCTTAATCGATGATCTTGTCATCAAAACGGATGTCCATAATTTATTAAAACAATTATTGAATTAATTTTGCTCGTTATTCCTGTCTCACCACAAAATGTAAACTTTGTGAAACGTTTAAAAATGTACCATACGGTTAGAATACGGTGCGATAGCAAATACAATAACTGATGAAATAATTCACCAAGTATCATGTAAAAACTGTAAAAGCTGAAATTTTATTTGGTCATATTTATCATACAATACAATTCACGAATTTTTAAACATATATCGTTTTTTTTCTAAATAAAAATCAAAGTTTCGTATAAAAGTGCTAGTTTTCTACTGTTTTAAATAATTAAATAAAATGTAGGTACCCACTCAAAACAATATCTATTATAATACATCATGTTTAATCATTATACACCTACGTTGAAAAAAATATAGGTTAGGTACCTACTATTTTACTTTTAAAATAATTGTGTTAAATTGTATATAATAGTTAATAAATTAGATTACTAGACTTATTTAAATATTCAAATTTAATGAGCAAATTTTTAAACTTAATTCGATTTCACACTCTGTTATATAAATTTAGAAAATTATTCTACTAATCATTTCAAGGTTTCAAGTACATAATTAAGTCATAGGTTAAATAAAATCATTTTGTATGCTTATTTACTAATAATTTAACATTGTATACATTAATAAATATTATGTTTAAGTACTTACCTATTTTCAAATCATTATATAAGCATTGATAATATTGATATAAATTTATCATAAAATGTGATAGTAGGCGTATGATCTCAGGATGGATCCAAGTGTTGAGTTAATGGTTATAAAAAAAAATCAAAGTTTTTAACACACATATTACAAATTCCACGTACCTAGTTAAACAAAAATAAAATTATCAATTACTATAATTTCTAAATTTACTTTATAAAAAAAAAAGGTATTTTTTTTATTTTTTTTTATAAAAACAGTGACATTCTATTCACTCTTGATCCCATAATGGTGTCAGTTATTCAACTGAAGCGGATTTTGATAATAACTTAATACAATATATTAATATAAATAATATTATATTATAAATAATAATTGGTAAATTCAGTAAGGATGTCTATTTTTATTATATTTTGAATCACACAAGAAAACAAGCATACCTAATCGCTTTCACATTTTACTAAGGTTCTTAAAATTTTAAATATGAACTTCAAATCTGTCAGACTATGTTTCTAACATTTAAAATAATTTTGAAAGTTATTTAAGTATAAACATATCATATACATTATCAACAATATTTACATTGATATAAAATGTGAAACTAATGATTAGTATTGTCGTAAATGTATAATTAATTATAAGTAATTCACTACATATTAGTATAGCTGAGTATGAGTATTATAAAACAAACGAATTGGTACCTGCTAGTTTCAGCATTAATTATTTTTTATATATTAAAGCACACAAATACACAATGTGTAATGATATATTTAATATGTGTTGTGTTATTTTAATATAACGTTGTTTGAAAAGAAAAAAATGCTAAGTTATAGCAAAAACTTATTTCGTCATCTTGATATGCAATCCGATTTGGAAAATATATCTGTCAAAAACAAAACCTCTCGCAATTTATATTAATAAATTATTAGTTATATAAATGACTCTAATGACTGTTTACGGTTAAACAAAACCGAGTTTTTGACATGGGACATACGTATAGATAGTACACACGGTTCATAAATTGTTATTTATAGTTGCTGAGTATTGACTGGGTTAAGGTTAAGAAATCAGTGCAAGTTAGCTTTATTATGTATTATGAATTTCTAATATAATTCAAGTTGTCTTACTACTCTAGTTTATTGTTTTAATTGCTAACACGAATGATGACTTTACCGATGTCGGCTTTCATACTTGGGATTGAGTTGTTGAGTTATCAATAATTGTAATGTATCAAAAATTATTATTTACATACGTAGGTAGGAAGGTAATTTGACTAGCTTTTTATATAATATAATATGTACGATGTACTAATGTATTATATTTTATGTATAACCGAATATCATTATGTTAATTTGATTATTGGATATTATTTTTCTTTTGATCATTGACGTTTGACTATAATTATTCCCCAGCAACTGCGTGCTTACTTTTATTATACTTAAGTATAAAAAGTGAAATATATATATATAATTATAATGTACTTTATTGTCATGTATCATACTAATACTTAAAACGTAAGTACAAACAATTACAATACAATCAGAACTTATGGTGATATAAAAAAAAAAATAAAGAATAATTTATTCAATTTAAAATTAAAATTTATAAGGAAAAATTGTATACAAAACAAAAAAGGAAAATGTATTTTATTTGAAAATCATGAGTTGATTATGTTTAGATATATTGCATGAGATCAAAAAATTATTTTAAACTCTAACCAAAAGAAGCTTTATTAATGAATGCAAGGACAAAACAATAATAACCCAATTAAACATAATAATTAGTCATGATTTACCTTGTACACATTTATAAATATAAATATATATATAATAATTATATATATTGTAAATGAAATTACGTTTCTATAGATACTATATTATGTTATAGTTGAACTGAGTATTATTCACAAAACGAATACAAAACTTAAAATATTTGTTTAAAAATTCGTTAAGTATTAAAATATGCACAATAATTAGCACTAGAATATGGTTCAAGTCACAGCGGTATGTAAAATTATGCTAAACTTTAATTTAGATCGATTGTGTCATGCGGATGTTATCATAATGGTTTATGTAATGGGCCCATTGTTCTGATGAAAGTTGTCTGAAAAAAAATGCATTCCTAGTGTGCTTTCGATAACAAATTAAGCTCACCAAGGGATTACGACATGTATTCCAACGGTGAAAAAAATAAAAACAAGAAATAAAGAGTATATTTAATTCAAGGTCGTTATGTCGAATATATACCTACGTCATGGCATCACGAACCACCGTGGTTTACCGCTACGGAATTCATGAACCTGTATACATAATATGCTTTGCGTTTCCAATTAACGAAAAGACAGAAAATACCGAAACTATAAAAAATATAATAAACCTACCAGCCGTTTACTATCCACCAACAATCGTGGGTTTTAAAGCTCCCTTTTTTCGTAAAAATAATTGAATCGTGAGAGGTGCGAGTATGACAATAATAATAATTATAATTCCCCGAGCCTTGGGTCAAGGCGGGTTACAGTTACATTGCATTACACTAGATTTATTTGATCGGCGACTATAATGGCGATCATGTCTTGTGACCTGTATCGCGTTAATTTGTGCAACATGCATAAAAATGCTGTAGATATGTATAGGTAGTTGCTACTATCGTATCATGATATAGTTGTTATGATATGCATTGTATTTATGTACCTTTCTTATACCTATAATATTATGTTAGGATTTTATATGTATATAGATATAGATAATATAACGCCTTCGGGCGCAATATTTCGCGTCAACGTCTACCTATGTATGTTTTTTTTCTGTACATAATATAATATTATTATTTTATGTGTATATACCTGTGTATATTATAATGGCAATCTCTATGTATAGTTGATACGATAGAAAAAAAAAACCAATATCGATTGTAAATAATTATTTTATGCGTTTATGTGTCCAGTAACTACGTATATTATACACGACAAACATTGAATAATTGCCCAACATTTCGAGCCGACCGGTACTGTACAGTGCGAATAGCTATTATTATTATAATGCCGTCGATTTTTATCTCGTAAAAAGTACATTAATGTTTTCGCGAAAAAATAATTTAAACCGACGTTAATCATGATGTTTAAGCGACCCAACTCTGACCACGCGGTAGATATATTATTTTTACATAACTCCCGGGCGTGTAAAATGAGTGTATGTGACACATGCGGTGCAGTTGATTTATACGAAATGATTAGTTATGTTATAGTACGTACAGGTTCTGCCATGGTGCCACGGTGTACTATTATTCATTGAGAAATTTTAGCCAATTATATTGTGCATATATACCTACAACTAAATGATAAAGAAACCATAAAAACAAACAATATATTATTTGATGAAAAAATAACTATCTCTTTTGAGTTTTGGGCGATTTATGTATTTCTAATTATCGCAGAAAGGTTACAGGAACTTTAGGTATGTATATACAATTCACAAGGTGAAGTCAATATTACTAAAATCGAATTTTATAATGATAAAATACACAAGAATTTGTGCATAAAAACTAAGCTTTTATAACCAAAAAATTCTTCTTGAATTGCTTAAATCATCGAGAATTCAAATATTTAAAAATTATATAATTTTTAAACAAGTATATTAAACAATTCGAAAAAATATTAATATAATAATCCATTATTAAAGGAAAATTTGGAAGTGAAAATTTTTAGTGAATATCCTTCTATATGTATATTTAAATGCAGTTGGAATTAGGGTTGTATTAAATTGGTGCTTAAATTATACAATTGTCAAATACAGACTCAAATTTAGATTTTTGAACTTTATTTGTACAAGCAATTAGTAAATTTACAAATTGAATTACAATCTTTAAATTATAATGGTAATATTGTAGTAATTGGTTAGGTTAGGTTAGGTTAGTTATTAAACCGTTTAAAATTGGTCATATCATATTTTAAGATTTACTCTTATACCTATTATAACAGTAAAGTAAATAGATCACGCTCATTATTATAATAAACTTAAACTGTATTATTCTAAAACCATCTTTTATGTTGATAATAATAATAATATAAGTGTTTTATACAACTAAGTACCTATTGACAATTTAAAGTGAAAATTATAAATAACAAAGAATAAAAATTAACAAAGTGACGCCAACGATTTTTTTATGTCTCGAAACCTTAGAATTTGTATAAAGAAAGAAGTTTAATTTTTATATTACTAGTAAATAATAATCAACTACAGTTAGTATAATATGTATTTAGGTACAAGTGAATATTTATTAGAGATCTAACTGATCTAAGATAATGATAATATTGTAACATAAATACGACATAATAATAATTATGCTTAAATATTTTTTAATAGATTCTTATAATAGCTAATATCATATTGTCATAATAAAATGATTATACCCCAATTTTTTATTTTATCATATAAAAATTTATTATTTTAATATTCATAATAACAACTATATAGGTATGGAATTAATTAATTTTCTTATAGAATTTTACCTACTTAAGTATTTTTTACGTGCTTCACGAATTCACGATGAGTAAATGAAATATCCATTAAAAATAAATGTTACCGATGGTATCAGACATCAGTCGAAATTGTAATTATATAATGTGTACAAATTAATCAAAATAAAAAAGTAAAGCAAGTCAGTACTATTTATAACAAGTTATTCTTTCATTATTATATACAATTACTAACATAATACATTATTGCAACCGTTACGAATGTTACAATATAGCTACATAGCTGGTATCTAGTTATTAAAAATGTACATGTGATTCATCATTCATAATATAGTTCATACCTGTTGCAAATGTCAAATATTATATTATTTGCCTATACAATCCATGTAATACTCGTAACTCTTAGAAACCAATTTTCAAAACGTATATTTATATTAAATATTTAAACAATCGTGTCAATGGTTGACGTAAATACGCTAAAATATTCCCATTTGACGGCTCCGTAGATGAATTTCTTCAGCTTATTGTTTTAGTTTTTCGATAATAATCATAAAGAAACGTAGGATATAGTTTTGTCTACATATCCAGTCGATACACGCGTAACAATCAATTATGTGAAAAGATGCGTATCACTAAGAAATTTCATCAGCCGAGAATTACAATAATAATAATATAAAAGTACGGCATTGAACAAAAAGCGAACTTCTGAATGATTTACGACATAAACGCGTTAAAGACGTTTGTGATTATGTGTTTGATTATTGGCTAAATACAATTAAAATCAAATTGAAATCTTGTGAGCATTGTGTTATACCATAAGATTTTTTATTTTTGTAGGTACGTTATTGTCAAACGGAATTCGTACGCGCAAGTAGGTACTTTCTTGAGTGTCTCTACATACAATAATAAAACCATTATTTTATTTGGGCATATAATATACACTGGGTGATTCATTTTGAAGAACACTCATTATTTTAAAAAACTAATAGCATTCATGAACATTTTTTTTAAATATAATTTCAAGTCGTCACAAAACTACATTTTTGAAAAAGAATTGTATCTTTTTACTATTTAATATTTTTTATCCTTTTTTAATAATATTACTAAGTTTAATGACAACATGCAATTTTAATTTCTTATTCAAAAACATAATAATTTAAAAAAATTCAAATTTTAGATAAGTAGTTTTTTTTTTTTTTTTTTACTAAGAAACTTGGTGAAAACCATTAGTTTCAATAATTACAATAAACAATATAATAAATATAATATAAACAATATAATACTCTACAGATAAGTAGTTAATGTGTTTTTTTTTTAAAAAAAGTATTAAAATACTCGTTCGAAATTTGATTACGTACATCGAAATACTGAATAATATTCTGCTTTGGAAAATGAAATTAAAAATGTGCGTTGTCACTCAAAAAATGAAAAACTATAAAAAATAACTAAAGAAAATTTATTTTTTAAATGTTGTATTGTAATGATGTAGGAAAAATATTTTCAATAACGTTAAGTAACTAAGTGTTAAGAAAATGTATTAATGTTCTATGTCGAATGAATCAGCTGCTATAATATATGTGTAGTGTGTATTATTTTTGCATATGAGATAAATGTTTTACTAGGTAAATAATATTTTACAGCCAAAACAAAATAATAAAATATCATGATTAAAAATAAATCAGGTGGACTTGTATTGATGTAGAATACCAACAACGGATCTACGATGTCGGAAAACATCGTGCAAGCGATTTTATATTTTAATGATTATAAGTTGTAATAAATTAATCATAGTAATATTGCCGTATAAGTAAAGCGATTCAAAGTAACTAACACATTATATTGGTCACTTAGATTTGCGCGAGTCAAATATATTATGTACAATTTAAAGTTCAAAATGAATACATTTAATATTGTATAAAATATATAGACATACTCTCGCGTGTCACCCATCAAACATATAATATCATAAAACGCGCGTCGTGGATAATATATATTAATTTATTTATTATACCTACATGTTGTATTAATGTGTTTTGTAACTTTTGAGACGTTCATAAGGTCAGTGAATCACGATGAATTCCGACTTCGTTGTATTACCAAAATGTCAAACAATAAATAGTATAATATATATTTTATATTACGTCTGTCAATCCACTCGTATACTTATTTTAATAATCGCGCAACGAGTAATATTTACTTGAATAAAAACTTATACTACGAAAGTAAAGAATAATTAATAAGCTTACTTTCATATGGATTTGTTTTCAAATTTACATAAACATTTCAAAAATGTCATTGCTATAAAAAAAGCTTTGAAAATATTATGCAATATATTTGATGTATCATCGACGTATATGCTGAACGCGAATGTAGTTCTTAAATTGTGTTTATAAACATTAACCAATAAGTATGTGAATGTAAATTAAAAAAAAATTCTTCGCGGGTTGTAACGATTCGTTGAATATCATTACTACACAAATGGCCTAGAAGCTATTTAAATTAAGCATGAAATACATAACGTTTAAGAGAGAGGAATAAAAACCATTATTCTCGAACTTTTAAATTCAAATAATATTTGTCTAATAAATTTTTTTTACAAAACAAACTATTTTGAACAACTTTCTAAGAGAAATTTTGTAATAACTAAATGATTACTCAATATGGTGTAAAATATTATGTGATTTAACTCTACATAGATCATTATCATAAATAAGTTACCTACACATTACGGTTTTTATGAATTATGTTATTCTACATAATATTAGTACATAATAAAAAATTATTATCGAACTTAAATTTCGTGTTGATTATTATATTGATCCAAAAAAACCGGTTAAAAACTAAAAAAAATTAATTATGCTTGAAATATTTTTCAATTCAAACGGAAATTGATGTTATAATTTTATCAAGTCGTTAAGCGTGCTCAGTGGCTTTAAAAAAAAAAATATATAGATTGGGTGAGTGGTGGTCAGTTCCTTTGTAAGTATAATACGATACTTAATAAGTGTCAATATTAATTTGGAATATAATTAGTTGTATCATATTATTATTTATTAATTATATCACCTGATGTTAGCCACACCTCATAACCATTTTTACATCTATAGTGATGTGTGGCTCCTTGGAATATTTTTCTTTATCTTCAGAAAGTTTTAAGCCACGCTATACTGAACGTGCCCAATACCAACGATATTAACGAATATTAAATTTATCATAATATATTTAATAAATAATTATTACACTTTTATACATAAGTTAAGTAATTTAAAACAATATTTCTAGAATTTTAGAATAAAATTCTTTTATAAACGTTTTGCTCCACAAAAATGTAATGCGATTATTTATAAAATAAAATTTTAAAAATATCTTTATATCAATATTATCAGTAAAGTATAGATATACATATTAAAGTGCTAGAAAAAATGTATTTTTTTGTACCTTTATTGCATAACATACAATAAAAGTATTTCAAATATTTTTAGAATACCTACACTTTAATGGTACAACAGTATGTTGAAACTTTAAACTACATTTTATCTATCTATTTAATATATAATCAAAATGGTCCTGAATTTGACAGTATCTATAGGCATTAGGACATATAACGATATTAAGTGCTTACACTTTATTACTTCCAAAGTAATATAATTTGAAGGTTCTTAGACCTATAAACTGTATTATTTTTTTGCGTTTATCATAAACGTTGACTATAATTTAATACACATAATAATAATATTTTAATGTCATATTAAAAAAGAAATAAAATGCGTTTAATGGACAATCAAAATATATATCAATAAAAATTAAACTGACCGCACAGTTAGTGAGAAAAAAATTAAATATTATGTCAATAAAACACATTACCTGTACGTATTTTTAGTTGGAACGTGTTTTTTATGTAATTAGTCTGAGAAAAGTAGTTGTGTTTCGTAAATTACACTTACCGTTTTAATGTGTTAGAAGTTGGACTTATTATGTTCGACGTTTATTCGAACGTCATGTAAATATTTAACTTTTCTCTTTTTATAAATATATTATTCACATTATAAACATATCTTTGACTTTTGTCTGGAAAAATAATTAAATGTATTATTATTTCATTTTAATTTATTAAAATATGTAACGTAACGTAGTTTAAAAGTAAAATAATTAGTATGCAATCACTAAACAAAACACGTTAAGACTATTAGGAAGCCTCTAAATGATACAAAAAACATACCACCTAATATTCACACAAATCTGAAATATAAATATATACTTTTGATCTAAATTATAGTTTTATACATTTATTTAAAACAGGTTTTTATTTTCTATTTTTATCACTAATCAATATATATATATATAATACTATGTGAGTAATAAAAACTTGTAGTTTTGACATGAATTATGGTATAATATATAAAAAATGATACCTACAATCAAATATAATACCTATATATAATTGTACTAGGAATTTTTCACCAATATAATTTAGTATATAATTCGAAAATTATGTTGTTATTTTTTATGAAACTTATTTATATACATTTTTAATTAATATTCACTTCAAAAAATGATAACTCTATATTAAAATGATTGCTCATTATTTAAATAAGAACTTGAATATAATTTGTAAGGCGTTTTTTCTAATAAGTATATCATAATTCATAATATGACTAGGTCATAACACCTATTATCGATAATTTCCAATTTGTTTAGAAGGACATTGCTTACATAATTGGTTATACACGGGAATTTGAAAATAAAAGACGGATATATCATAATTTATAACAAATTTATAGTATAATAATTTGACTAAAAATAATTGATGGATTGCAATAAATAAAAATTTGTAAATTTTACATATCTAGTTACTATTCATGTGTAACGGTATTTTAACATAGCTTTTTTATAATTATAAAATTATAAAGAGGTGAGTTAATCAGAAAACGAAAAAAGTCTCAGTAAGAAATTTATTCGGAAAATATTGGGTATACAAATCTTAGGTTTGGAACAGACAAAGAAAAATAATATCAACTGAAAAGTTGGAAAGATTAAATCAGTAACTTTTATCCGTCTATTTTATCGAAAATTTCTTCTTACATTCATATTATATTTGTATATTTAAAATTAAATTTTTAAAATATGTAAAATCAATTCGTTTACCGTGAAAATGAGAATATTTTCGTCTGTAATAATTTCTATAAAAATATTCTTTAGTAACGTCGCCACTACTGGATAAAATATAAATAATATCTATCCAAACTATATTATGTTGTATAAAGTATAAATATTGCTTTAAACGTTTATTTGGAAAACTTGAGAAATATAACTGCGTTTACATGGTAACTTTGCCTATACCTAGTTAAGTGCATACAATTTAATAGTAATTATTAATAAAATTAATAAGTATACATACAGTTATAAGAAAACAAACAAATTATTTTATACATAGATATACGTTTACTAGGACCAACTATGCACGAAAATAAAAATTATCATAATATGTTATGTTTCGTATATGCTTCGGGGAAAAAAATCATTATAATTAAACTCATGATATAGTTTTTATGATACTTATAAGATAATATTATTAAGGCCACACACACGGGCGCGCGCACATACTGTTTACATGTATATATATATATTCATAATATGGGTATTTTAAGCGAATTGCCTTGATGATAACTAATAACTTATAATAATATGTAACGCGAAATTTAAATATACTTTTGAAACTAGTTCAATATTGCTTCACGGTGGTTAATATATTAAACACTCAGCAAAAATATATTTAACATACTTATCGGCCTATCGATCCTACATGACGGATATGTCATTTTTTGTTAATCACACTGCGCACCATATAAAAAAGAGTGTGGTTATTGTAAGCATATTGTGAAAGCTCGCGGTATAAATAATAAAATATATACACAATGCATTGCAATATACGATTTCGAAAAATACCATGAATATCAGTATTAATATTATAAGCTTAGGGTTTTGTATATTTTGCGTCTTCCTCTAATTAAGCGCGACAGCGTTACGAATTCAAATAAAAAAAAATACCAATATAATCTTATAGGTACATGCGTTTACACGAACATCGAAAAACTTCTCCAGTCGGTACAAATCGCTATATAATATAAGATATTATAGACATTACAATAAACATGTACATCGGGTTAATGCGTTATTCAAGTGAATCATTTATTATTATTATTATTATTATTGTTATTATTACGTATTATTACTCGGTTATTAGATACAGAGACACAGTGAACTCTGCTGATTATTGGTTTCTAAATTATAACGTTGCTGATTACGTAGGTATTTGAACTAAAGAGTCACGTGTGATATATAATAGTTATTATAACAGTTTAGAAATCAAACTCAAACGAAATACTATAGGAGAGCTTTACAGATACAATTATCTATGAATACCTATAGATCATATCCGAATATAAAAAACAATTACAATAGGTTGATAAATAAATATCATTAATATAGTTTCAATAAAAAAGAAATATGTAATAAATTATATATGTATGTATTAAAAAAATTCTAACTTTATATTACGATATTAGGTATTCGAGGGCTGTAAATAAACTATATAGAGGGTGATTTACCTAAAATGATGCCTTTTTGTCCGTAAAAGTATTATGTATTTATTGAAATTCAGAATTATGTAATTTTTGATATATTCGAAGACCATAGTTGCAGATACTTAGATTTTTTTTATACTGTTTTAAGTAGTGTCCTTATTTTCCTCTAAACTTCTCTTTTTGTATGTTAAATTGTTAAACTGATGATTTTTTTCGAAAACTTTAATGCATCTAAATCAAAATGTAAATGAATAGTTTTAAGTTGTTAAACTTTATATATATTAAGGATAACATTTTTTAATAATGTTTAAAAATATATTATACATATAAAACAGCTGTAATATTTAGTAGTATACTAATTATTTAGACAGTTTTTACAAGTTATAAAATGTTACTAGGTTATAATTAAACCTTTTGATTTGGATTTATATCTTTAGTTCATATACAATTTAATTATTCAGATATTACTCGTTCAAATTTTGATTAACAATAATTTATACTGTGAAAAGTGGGTTTTATTTATATAAAAAAAAAAACCATTAGTTTCGACACAGGCCAATCTTTAGTTTTAATAAATGCATTATTAAAAGAAAAATGGGCGTAAACAGATTGTATAGATGTATAATTTTTCCTCAAATATGATCGGATTTTTCATTATTATAATTTATACTGATGTATTGGAATTTAATTTGTACTGTAGTCAATTATTTCCTATTCTCGATAATAGTTTTAATTTTTTTTTTAATAATTCAACATTGAAATCAAGGGCGTACAGTAGAATATTTTTGTTTATTTTTTTTGGGGGGAGAGGAAGTTTCAAAAAAACTGCATATTAATAGGTACTTTATTATAATTAAGAAAGTAATATTTCGGGAAGGGGTTCAAGAACCGAATTCCCTCAGCATTTGCCCTTGATATGATTAATCATATATCTATTTACATTGAAATAATAACACGTACTTACATAACCTGCAGTGTTACACCCTAAGAATGAAGTTGCTCATTGCATACGACAAGAAGTGGACTAAACGATTAATTCTGTACAACTCGTGAATTGTGAAATTGCTGGTTCAGTACCTACCACGCATGACCCAATGATTGACAACGAATTTTAGTTTTTGAGTATAATATGCGACGGTTTTAGAATGCTGCATAATTGAAAATTGTTTGTCCACACTGAGGTTATACATATGTATACCTAGATAGTTAATGTTATTTATCTAATTAAAAGTAAACGGTAACACATTATATTTAAGTGAAATGTATCATTGTGTAAATACACATGCATAAACTATAAACCTATCAATTTCACTTATCTTTATGTATACGATTGTTGAAGTTTCCCATATACCGCCTAGGTATTTATTTTACTAGATCGCGACCGGAAACGTATATACCTATATAGACAAAAAGTAACAACAGATGAAAGTAGTTTTTTTAGTGGATTTTATACTCAGCGCAAGCGCATAATGGGAAGACCAGAATAATAATTATTGGTTTCAGTTGTATATGATATAATAATTATGAAAGGTTTACAAGCATTTATACATACTATATGAACGATAATACATGTAATGGAAAACGTGTACCTATACTTATCTAGTGAAAAAAATATCTTTTATTATATTATGGCCACAAATGGAGTCCTCACGAAGTAATCCAGACCTAGTCTAGTACGAGGCGATTAGAATCCTGTCAATCTGCAATATAGTATACCTATATGGCTATATTATTAGTAATTTATAACAATTATAATCATATTGTTGTCCGGTCCAGTTTCTAAAATGCAAATCGTGTGTGCTCAAGGGTACGACAGTTACACACTATAATATCATTCACATAATATATTGTATGGGATAATTAAAAAAGGTATAGACGAACAAATGTTTTCTTCTTTTTTTTTTTAATGGAAACGCAAAAAGCACAATAATAAAACGGTATATTTTTAATTTTGCCGAAATCCACAACATACCTATTAATAATTAATCATTACTATGGAACGATTTACATATACATATTATGTAGGGGCAATCGTGCGCAAAACATCGAACTCGTAAATATAATATTACTATACTCGTAGATTACGCATGTTTAAACATATAATATTATTAAAAACATTGATCATTTAGAGTCTGCCTACGCGCAATAATATAATAATAAATCGTAATCAAAGAATGTTATAGGTTTTTGGGTTATAAAATCTAAAAAACGAAAGCTTAAGCGACCAGCGTTACTAGGAAAGCACTAAAAATTATAATGGATGTATGCCATAATATGACATAAAAAAATCTTAAAAAGTACGTTATTATATAATATACACTAAAACCGGTGAAAATAGGAAGAAAAGTGGTGTTTAAAAAAATATATATTTTTAAGTAATATATAAAATAAATTAAAGTCAATCATTAAGAAATGAAAAAAAATTAAAATCAACTAGAATGAAGACATTGACTAAATTCAAATGCAATGTGGGTATTTTTCTTGTTTATATTCGCATACATTATTTTTCTTCAATTTTAATTCAAAATACACGATTTAATGATAATTATAATAAATAATACCATAACCGAGGAGAGAAAGTGTTAAAAATTTAAAACGTCTAAAATATGCAGTATAAAATGTTATTCTACTATTACTAATTCTACTACTACTAATACTAATACTAATACTTTCGGCCATCAGCTTTAAAAGCCATCAAGACCAATGGCTGTAAAACAAACTTCTTTAGTTTATATCCATCTCTCTCTGTCTAGAACTACTTCGCTAGCATTGCCTATCCCTAGTTTTCTTAGTAACTATTTTATTTTACCAATCCATCTCTGCTTCAGTTTTTCCATCAGCTTTCTATCCTGAAGGGTATAGACGATCCAGTTTAATACAATATTTGTTATTGATTTAGCACCTAATACATAGCTGAGTTGGTTTCCTTTCTAGTGTTATATTTCAGTTATTATGTTCGGTTTTACAAATAATTCTTGTACTTCATGTTATATAATCAATCTCGTATGTTTGAATCCTTTTCATTTTTTTATTATTTTTTTTTTGGTACATAAATCCTTCTAGGGAATTTTCTTTTTATGACACCCAATTTTTTTTAATTTCTCTAAGTTGTGGATCATGCTACACATGCGTATATTTATATTGATCTTGCTCTTGATTTTTAACTCTGTATAATCGTTCTTTTAATTTTTTTCAAAAGAAACTTATTTGACCCCATTTATCTCGAGGGGATATATAAACTATAATATTAATTATTTCCCTATGTGATTCATTTTTTTAATATCTTCGTATAATAATAATTTATGTTACTTAAGTTTGATACCTAAATATTTAAAGTTATTTATTTCTTCAAACACACATTCGTTGACGTGTAGTCCAGCTGCGTCCGTTACGTTTTATGTCTATTCTTGTCGACACTTATTTTTTAATTTCATTCTCGTTGATGATTAGTCCCAGCTGTTTAATAATTCGCATTAAAAATTCTAAAATGTTATTCTCGATACATGAATGTACAACAATTTTTCTATTTTTATCCATATTCTTCTATACAATATATTTAATAACAAACTATGTTATGGAATCTAAGCCCTGTATCAATCAGTTTAGTAACATTAATTATCTCAGGATGCGTTATTTAAATAACAAAAAACTCAATCAGTTTGATATCCGATGCATCCGTACAACACTCGAAATGGGGACAAATACCACGATATCATATCAGTATTTATTACTCTTGTTATTATAATGTCAAGTCACGCGCCGGAATCGGCGTCTGTAGGGCTCGGGAATATATGCAGATGGATGGCGGTAGATAGCGAGCCATGTTCATTGAAATGACGGAGGACAGTGTGAAATTAGTGACATAATCATTTTATTATACAATATGTAGACGTATATCTATAATAGTATACAGGGTGCGTTTTTTTTTATGTAGCGAACTCGACAATATCTTGTCACGAGCTTATTATTACGTGCTATTTGATATATTTTTTCTTTTTTTTAACTTATTTAACTTAACGCGATAAAAAATAAATACCACAATGAAAAATCTACGTACCTATAAACGAAAAAAATTGTTCTCAAATATCGTAGAAAGAAAATAAATACGATACTTGACGAGACATTAATGCTCTAGTCTGTTTGAAATAAAATGTAGGTACCCTGTACACGACATTGTAACCGCAGACATAATATTATTGCACACACCGTACGTATATTACTATCTGCATATTATTTGATATTATAATATGATAGGGGGTCGAAGAGTCACGTCAAATCATGTCTGGAAAATCATCGCACAGCTGAGATCACGGTTGGTATAATATTATTATGTACTATACAGTTGTAATGCTATATAATATATACATACATAAATAGGAATATAGTGTATAATATGCCTTAGTGATTTCATTAGGATAACAAAGCGAAATCGTCGAGACCAAATACGCTAATACCGTGTGTACGCGACAAATATCATATGTACTGTGACGTAGTACCTAGTATAAATAGGTAAGTGTCGTTACATTTTATTATTTTATACATACCTAAATAAAAACAGATCTGTAAATGCGATTTGATATTTCTCGACGCCGTTATGATATTATATAATATACAAGATGATTCATCAAGCATGCTATGATATGCTATATTCCTTTTTTATTAAATTGAAATTATTTTTTAGTCTACCTAAAAGACATTTTATACTCCTTTGTATCTATCTGTCACACTTAAATATTTTATACCATTTAAAAAGTGTCATTTATTTATTTATTTTTTCAAACGAAAGGTACTCTGTATTTAATTGCAAATTGTTAGATATATGATTCTTTCAAAAATTTTAAATTAAAATTTGGACAAATAGTTTCAGAGTTGTTAAACTATGTATATACTAATAATAATATTTCTAAGTTATTTTATGTCTGTATATAAAATAAAATATATTTTAAATTACCACAAAACACTTCTTAAAAATAGTATAAAAAGTGTATTTTTTTGTATTGCTTAAAATGTGATTTTATGTCGATTAAAGTTCGTAAAAATTAAAATTTGAATTAATTTTTTGTTAAAAGGAAAAATTGAGCTGACCATGTCTGGAGAATCACCCTGTATATAATGCATAGACTAACTCTTGAATTACAATATTACACAAACTGGACCACAAACAAAAATCTCTCCATAATAATAATAATGAAGATTAAATTACACAAAAGCCGATGAGTATAATATAATTATGTCTCCGTAGTTTTTTATGTACAATTTACAACTCTACTTACATCACATTTCCTCACTCCAACTAATAGCGTCATATTGAACTTGGACTCGTGGAATGACTTTTTTGCAATCAAATCCGGCAAACATTCACACGTGATAATACATTATATATTTTTTTATAAATATTAATTGCTTACCCCTGAAAATTAGAGTATAAATTACGACCTATGTATTAAATTTTTAAATTATTTCAAGGATTTATGCAGGCATTGACGAGTTTGAAAATAAAATCAAGTTAAAATTTGAACTAATATTATGCGATGCTTTACTATTCAGTAAAATGATCGATATAAAATATATTGTAAGCTATACTTAATGCATACTAAAAACACTTTAAATAATCAAACAAGATATGAATGATTTTTCAATTATTCATCATAGTTACCTAATATAATGCTTTTTCAATGCAGGAGGCATATATTGTAAGTTGTAACCATTGATAATAAATATTAGTATTTATAATTAATGATTGTAACTTAATTTCTTCTTATAAATTAATCTGAATTTTGAACATTTACTAAAAAAAAAAAAAAACCATTAGACCATATTTTGAAAACAAATAATACTATTGGTTAATTTAATTAATAATTTTAAATCTTCAACTTATTCAATTATTAACAAATTTAGTTGACTTAGATTATAGTTTTTAATAATTTTTTATATACTTTAATAAATTAGTTCATAAAAATAATTAACTAAATCAGCCCTTGTATTACTTTTTAATCTTTTTTGATGATGAAAAACGTAATAAATTACATTATAATGGTTGTATAAGTAGAGCTCTCGAATTTGAACGTATAAAATGAGTGGAGTTTTTGGTTCAAAATAAATAACTGATCACAGATAAACGCTGTGTAAAAATTATAAAACATTAAAATATGCTTAACTTAATGAAAATAAAATTTCTTGTGATGTAATAATAAACGCGTGTATTATTAAAAAAATTCACGGATTCACGTGTAGTTGCAACCCATTTAAACAATGTACTATTTTTTACTTTACAATTTCACGAAGATTATTATAATAGCATACAAATTACATAATAATAGTAGGTACTTCACTAATCGTCATATTGATATTATTTTTACTTTTGTTCAATACCAATACCACTATTCTTACAAGTAGCGAACACCTACCTCTCAGTTCTCGATGACATTCCAGCGAGTTCTTCAAGTGTACGATCAAGGACGTGTGTATACGCGAGTATAATTACTATACTATATCATTACTACTATTACTATGCGTATTGTAAGCATTCCTGAGCAGCGACAAAGTTTAAAATTATATGATCGCAATGAATTATTTTGTAGATGGTACCTACCTAAGTATAATATTAGACCTATCTGGTTTGGCTAAGGTTATAGTTAAAGGGTGAGATAAAATATCGATTACTAAATCGTTTCGTGTGAAATCGTGTTTTAATATCCCAATAGTATATCTTTGTTAAGACATAAAATAAAATAAGTATGTTTAAGCGCACTTGCAGTGTTCAAAAAAAATTTTTTATCTATGTTATTTAACCCTAAAAATACAAAATGCATTGAAAGCATACTGATAATTATGAACTGTTATTCATAAAGTGCGAAATAAAATAATTATAAAGGTAGTTAACAAATATATTTATAACTAGAACTATAGACATAATCATAATAGTTGCACAACACTTATAATTAATAATAATTTTTCGACAAAAATAAATCGTCGTGGACTATAAACAATAAATTTTAGTAAAACATAGCTGATATAAGAACTCCGACGTGAGCGTAGGTATAATATAATCACTTTATAAGAGAGTTGCCAAATTTTAAAATCACCAAACCGGAACATCATATTGAAGAACCTTTAGGTATATAGTCTATATACCTATTCCATATAATATAATATACATTAAAAAGTTAAATACTTCAAAAACGCGTTCGATAATATTCTCTTGATGATCGTAGCAAAAATATGAAATGAGTTTAATGTTGTTGGTTTTTTTTTCTGTGTGCATGCAATTGATATAATATATAACGTTAATTAAACATATAGTTCACATATTTTGTTCAAATTTTCATAGTTCCTTTGATATAAAGTAAATATTTAACAAAAAGCTTAGTCATTTAACCTATATAAATTCATTTTAATTTTAATTTGTAAGTGTTATCTCGTTGTTATAAATAAATTTAAATTATTATTATTTTAGATAATAATATACTATTAATTTTTTTGAATTAATAATACGAATAACAATATTATTTAAAAAAATAAAATAACTAAAAACTTAAAATAATTTTTAATATTATATTTAATTTCCTGTCACAATAATTTAATTTAATATAATCGTAATTAATGATTATTGACTGATATAATTTATTGCACTACAGTGTATAATTATAAATATGTAACTAACTATATCACTTTTTGTAACAGATTAAAAATTGATAATATATTATAATCGATTTATGAAAATTGAAAATATTTCCTAATGAATTTAATTTTAATCGATCTTTATGAAATAAGTCTAAAATTCAACCGGTTATTTAAAAAATAAACTACTAAGCTATTTGAAGAAAAAAAATCAGATACCTAATTTTCAAGTGGCCTATATGACATATTATAATACATTATTATGAATATTGAATACTATTGTTAACATCGTGTACTTATACCACGCGTTTTAATTTATACAAAAGCTACAACCGTTTCACGGCATTTAAAATTCTGTTTTATAAAATTGTTATTTATATTTTTTAATTTTTAATTTCCGATATGTAGGTAATACAATTTATAGAATATACACAATTTACACAAATATTATTAAGAAACGCACACATACATGAATGCGTACGCACGTTTGATGTCTATTATGTCAAGAGGACAAGGTGTGTCGAGTCGAGTGTATAAACCGCATAGTTGAGCAGGACCTCCACGGGAAAAAATGCACACCAAAAATCGAATCAAGAACCGAGCAGCTGACCCTGCGAGATGAGAGAAAAAAACACACCACCAAAACGGCGTCACAATCACCTTGATACTTTCACAAAACTGATATTATATGAACAGAATCGCGAATCCTAAGAGGTCCATTCGTTTCCGAACCGGTGATGTGGTTAGGTTACGACGCGCGCCGAACGTTATAGTATACAAGACGTGTAAGGAGTAGGTATAGTATTTTATTGTGCACCGATATTTTAGACGAACACAAGAACATACCGACGACGATCAACGCCCAATCGCATTAAGGTAGGCAAATTATAATGCTAAGTTCAAGTGATATTATGTTTTATTATTACTATCATATTTATAGATTATTAAAAAAAAAAAAAAAAAAAAAAAAATAGAAAAAAATTAATCCGAACAATTTATTGCACTTATTGTTTTAATTCTAATTTTATTTAAACTAGTTGAACAAACAATTTGGTAATAAAAAGTACGTAGTTAATTTTTAATCAACAATTATTATAACGTAGCATAAGATTCGTGCTATGAATTTCTTTTTTCGTTTATTTCTTTTTTTTTTTAATAATTCTTAGTCGTTCGAAACTTTAAAATTAACTTACTTTATACAGTTATGTTTATACCTAAACATTTGTATAATTTTATTTATTTTATTCATGTAAAAATAGATTATTTGATTCATTACAGTATGATAATTAATTACAAAAAAAACATTTTACAAAAAATTCCGATAGTTAATTTGGTATTACATGTTTTTATTATTTAAATTTTGTTCGTTATATTTTATACAGCCATTATAAATTAATAAAAACAACACTCACAGATTCATAATAAATAAGTTTTAATAATAAAATAATATTGTTTCGAACGATAATATTAAGAATGTTATGTTATATTATTAAATCTTTATATGATCAATAATGCTCGTAAACTGTAAGGATATAATATGATTGATAAAAATATAATTATTGGAAAGTGAACTTTAGCTTTTAAGTGAAGTATTATATTATTTAGGTAATACAAAATATTCAATAAATACATTTAAATCGTTAAAACTAAAGTTAGTTTTAAAAAAATATAATATTTTTGTCTTATAAATCAACATTATAACCATTGTAGCTATTAGAAATTTATTTTTTTTTTTGATTGTTAACGAAAAAATTCTCACGCACCTATACATGTAATAATAGCAGGTATATTTTTTCTTTAGATATAAATATACAGTATAGATTGGTCGAGGTAAATAAATTGAAATTCCGTCTTACCACCTTATCTTTCCTATTATCAAATGTCAATCATATATTTACATTGTTATAGTGCATTAGTGAACCTATCACCTATTCTCTGTCAGCTTGTCAATATTCCCGACGTAACCATATAGTTTGAAATGTTATAAAAGGAGAGTAAGTGTGTGTACAGTGATTTCGCAGTCGAGTAAAACCCAAGCGATCATATTATTATATATAACTAGATAGTATATATATATTTTTTTAATGAACTAATAGCAATTGAAATGTATTAAAATTGAAAAAGTTCTCATAACGATTTTGGTTTTGATGAATTTAATTGTTAAACGTACATATATATTATATAGATACTAGTAATCGGTAATAAAAGTGACTGTCAAAGTGTCTTTTATAATACGTTAAAAAAACTTAAACAAAAATACTAAAAAATAAAAATAAAAACTTTCACATCAATTAATACCAATCGTCTCCCGACATTATTTATTATTTTTCTCGTAAAAATCATCTAAAGCTATTTTATTCAAACATTTTCATAGAATTTCTATACTGCGTTTTCGAATACTATATAATTATACGATTTCAATATTAATAATACAGTATAGGAAAAATAATATCCCATACATAATATAGGTACTTATTTACTCGTATGTATTAGTTACACACATCTAGGTCAATAATTACGGTTTACAGCAGATAAGCAAATATTCCTAGACGATTGAATCTTTTCGAAAATAATATAACTATAATTGAATAATTACTTAATAGTGTTTGAAAAGTTAAAAACGTAAAAAAAGAAGGATTCCTGAAACATTAAAAGATCTCGTAAACCTTAACGCATTCTGTAAGCTCCGTCTTGAACGTAATAACAAACACGCCCAATAATATAGCCATTTACGCACATTTATATACCTATTTACAA